TTGACCCGTACCATCCCCTTCAGTTACTGTACTTTAATTTTGTGACTAATTAAAACTAAGTAGAATTCCTTTATAATTCTTTGATAATCCCAATTGCATGCTTAATTATTATTAAACTCCTTGTGGGTATTAAAACAAGGTGTGACTTTGTCCTAGTTAAGTGTAAAATTAACCTTTCATCTTCTGGAGGATTGTTCAGCTCTATACTTCTGTTAGGAACCAGAGGTTAGTACTTATTTATATTATTTATTAGTCTCCATTGTTGCTTATTTAAGAGATAATTTTTTAGTAAAAAGTTGGTATTTCATGAGTCTCCATTCAAAATAATTCATATTTACAGTATTTTAAATATCCTTAATTGGAAAGATCTGATAATCTATATTGTAAAGTAGTTCTAGCAACTATGTCCTATAAAATCCATCAGGAGGTGTGACTGTATCTATTTCTCTTATTCTTTTAAAGTTTGTCACTAGAAGTTGAATAGTAAGAGGGTAAAAAACATTTGATTAGTTTTTATGCAATATAAGCTATTTGTATGTAGCCTTTTTATTTTGTAGTAATTGGTTTGATTTTGAGCTCAAGGCAAGAGACTATCTCAACTAGTGAAGATTCTTGTGTGTATCCTAGGGTGGTAGATAGTTGTCATCCTTTATGTAGCCTTGCACTTGAACCCCTTCCTTAATAGGAGTCTTACGGTCAAGAACATGCCTTTTTACTGCCTACCTTCACAAGGTGAAAACCCAGATTCCCATACTACAAGGTTCATTGCCTCTCAGACTATAACTTGGTTTCAGCCAAACCAGTGCACCCACCAAATCTTTAAAACTAATCCAAGGATTCCTGTCTTGCAAACACAAGGCCCCAAGTTCAATCCCTGGTACCAAAAAAAAAAAAAAAAAAAAAAAAAAAAAACTAATCCAAAAAGAAGCTAGAAAAGATCTTAAGTGGCAGTGATTGTCAACATTTTCTGTTTTCTCAGGCCAGTAGTTTCAATAGCCGGTATTCAATGGCAGCAGTAGCTTTTTAGTAATGATGTTCAGTAATAGTAAACTGTGCCCCCACTGGATTAGTCAGTGATATGATTGATTTTGAATTGTGCTTCCATCTGTCTACTCTGTATTTCTGCCTGCTTCACAAAACTGAACCTCTACCCTTCTTAGCAATTCTCAGAGAAAGTCATAAGGATTCAATACTTTTTAATCAGCCTGTGAGGATTTCTGTTGCTTGCAGCTAAGAACCCTGATGGATATATACCTAGTCACCATGCCGACAATTTTTTTGTTAGTTTTGTTTGTTGCCAGTTGGGTTTCTAACACTGTTCATTGTTGTTTCTTTAAACTCTCTTCCCCTAATCATTAGTTACATTAGAGTATGTAACTTAATCTTGCTAATATTCATTTCACAGAAATATTATAAAAATTATACAAAATAATGTGCCTGCCTTGGTGATAGATCAGTTTCAGTTGCTAAGTTCTTTTCCTGCGGTAATACCTGCTTCTAGCAAATTAATTTTTTAATTAATTAATTAATTAATTTTTAATTGTCTGCCTCACTAGAATATATACTACACAAAGTGGGCATGCAAAATTTGCCCTGAGACCAGGCAGTGGTAGTTGGGATATGGAGAAGGGTGGGTAGAAGTGGCATTGCTGGAAAAATATTCACAGGTAGAAGACTCAGTGCTTGGTTTGTTAGTAAAGATGGAATCATGGGGGATGATATCTTCTGTAACACAGTGTTCGATGTTGTGACATCCATATATATATTGAAATTTAGTAGGCATTTGGATATGAGGATCCAGAGGCCAGGAATAGGATCAAGGCTGAAAAAAATTACAAGTGGTAATTGAAGTAATGAGAATAAAAAGATAAAGAAAAGGACTATTTTGAAACTAAAGAGGAAAGAATTTGAAGGAAGTCATATCTGACTATATCTCTGACAAGTTAAAAAAAGAAAAGTAAGTGGCTTGCTTTGGTAAAGGGACCATTGTGAGATACTTTAAGAGTAGTAAGATTTTGGAGCAGTAACTGTGCCTATGGTATTATTTTTTTCTGGGCTTTCTAGTCTTCAGCCACGGGCTAGCCTAGATCTTCATTTGTGGTACTGCTTCTATATTACTGTCAACTTTGTGAAATCCCATCTGTTTCACAAAATTTGTAGTATTACTTTGCATTGCCTTTGGATCCTGTTTTGGATGTATCCTACCATCAGCAAATGGCCCACAGAACAAAGATGATAATATGACTGGGACAGACTTAAGGATTGATTGTATATTGGTACATAGCAAATCCATATGTATATTGTATTTCATTTTAGTGGGATGAGGTAGATAATAAACAAGTAAATATATGTGTCAAGTGATAGTAAATATAATGGAGAAAAAAACAAGTCATTGTATTGGGAAAGCAGAAAACATTGAACAGAGACTTAAAAGGAAAGAAGAGAACAGCCTTGTGGATACTCACAGGAAGAATATTCCAGAAGGAGAGAAGAGTAAGTGTAGAGTTCTTGAGGCAGGATTATGCTTTAGCATCTTGTGAGAATGGCAAATATGCCATTGAGCACAGTATAGTAGTAGATGAAGGCAGGAGTTGCTAGGGGCCAGGGCAGATCATTAAGGGTAAATTCTCAACCTATTAGACTCAAGTCCTTCATTCTATAAAAGCAATTTTATAAGCCCAACACTACTAAAATGTAGTTCATGCATGATGTACAATTTTCTTAAAGTTTTCAAAATATAACTTGAATGCCCTAACTAAAAGAAAAGAATTTATAATCCAATAATGTGTTTAAACTATGTGATTTCTCAGACAGGACTATACAGAAAGACAAAAAAGGCCCTGTAAAATTACCCTAGGAAAATTGTGCCTACTTACTGAGAACTACTGTAAGGTATCTTGTGGCCCTTTATTAGGCTTTTAATCTGAGTGGCGAAGATGCTTGGGATGGGGGGTTAGAGCAAAGAAGTAGCATCAGCTGCAGCATAATCTTTTTGAGAAAATTGCACTGGCTCTTATATGAAGTGAGGCTCAGGGTGGGTAAGGGCAAAAATCAGTAAGGCTACTATTTACAGCTATTACAGTGATCCTGATGTAAAAATGCTAAGTTGAAACAAGATGATAAAAAGAGGTTATGAGAAGAGGCTGAATTCTGGAAGAATATGGAAAGTAAATTTGCTGATGGATCAGATACAGAGTGTGAAGAGAGAATAGTCAGAAATTCCAGCGATTCTCATCTAATTAACTGTAAGAATATAAATTGTTGTTAGTTTAGAGAAAGCTAGAAAAATTCATTGGCAAAGAAATGACCAGGAGTACATTCGAGAGATGCAGATGAAAACAACCCTGAGATTCCACCTCACCCAACAAAGAATGGCTGCTATCAAGAAATCACACAATAACAAATGTTGGCTGGGTTGTGGGGAGATAAGATAGAATCTTAGATATAGAAGATAGGATTGCAGTCAGTGACCGTGAAAAGAGAGGCCTCTTAAAAACAGTAAAAGATCATGAGAAATCAGTCGAACAACTCCTAGATGATGCCAAGAAGAATAACATTAGACTGATAGGAATCCATGAAGTAGCAGGAGAAAATACAAATGACTTAAAAAAGCTATTCACAGAATCAATGACAGAAAACTTCCCAAACAGAAGGGAAGATTTTGACATTCAGAGAAGTGAGGCATATAGGACTCCAACTAACTATGATTAAAAAAAAATCTACACATAGACATATAGTAATCAAGATCCCAGAAATCCAACAGAAGAACAAACTACTATAAGCAGTAAGAGAAAAGAAACAAATCACATGCAAAGGAAAGCCCATCAGAATCACAGCAGACTTTTTAACACAAGCCCTTATGTCAAGGAGAGCCTGGAGTGAGGCATTTCAAGTCCTAAAAGAAAACAACCACCATAAAGAACGAGAAAATAGATTCATTCATAGGAAAATGGGTACATATTGAAGATATACTCCTAAGTGAAATAAATAAGTCACACATGTGTAAATACCGAATAGCTTCCCTGGTGTAAATAATCTGCAACAATGCATAAGATTCTAATAAGATTACTGACGTTTAGAAATGGGAAGAAAGGAGCTAAAGGTGTAGGGAAGGTGGGATGGGTAGAGGAAGAGTAAAAAGGGAAAAGAAAAAAATGTGAGAGAATGAAAAGATGAAAATAAAGTGTTTGTAGATGGGGAGGGAAGGAGGGGGTGAAGGGAGGGCAGAGGTAAGGGGAAAAAATGAGAATCAAGACTTGTCATGTAGAGGTACAAGATCCCAACAATGAATGTAACTGTACTGTATCCCTAAAATGTACCAATAAACTCAATTAAAGCTGAAAAAAAAAAAAAAAAAAAGAAATGACCAGGAGTAATTTGAAATGTTTTTTTGGATACTGTGGGGAGGAAAGATACAAGTCTTTAGAATCAAGCAGGAAGTTCAGGCTACAGATAGTCATTTGGAAATTGATATATTTGTAAATGGCGGTGTTACAAAAAACAGACTGACAACTATTCTTCAGTGAAGATGAGACTTCTGTGTTCATTAACCTGGGGAATGAATTTAAGAAGGTTGAAACATTGACACAGATTATAAAATATTAGGTTTAGAAGATCCAAGCTCTGTCACTTCCTTTTGTTTCCTATGCAGTACCCAACTGAGTGCCATCTGGTTGCGCATCTAATAGGTTTGCTAAATTAAAAAGGAATATCTATTTTGAATTTGGAACTAGAGGATTAGATCTTTGAGTTAATTAAAATGAAGAGTTAGACCCTCTTTTGTAAAGCTATATAGTATTATTTAGAATTCTTAAATTTTTAATTTTAGTATCTTGAAAAGAAAAAAATAATTATTTTTACCTGTAAAACTACCTATGCAGTATTTATACACATTGCATTTATTGATCTTGATTATTAGAATTAATCATGTACAAATAATCATAAAATCGGCATATAAAAAGGCTGGTACAGCTTCTAAATTCATTTGGCTTTCTTTTTAGGAAGACTTGGAGACTGGAGTCCACCTTGACCCTGCTGTCAAGGAAGTTCAGTATAATCCTACCTATGAGACCATGTTTGCTCCTGAGGTAAGTAACATAGTCAAGGTTCTGCCCTTTGATAAAGTATTTGAATTATACATAGGAGGATAAATATTTGTTTAGTTTTTGCACATTTTTCCCCAAAAGTATATTTAAGCTTTCAGAAAATATGTCCTTCTAATCTCCCAGAATCTAAATTAAAATGCTTTGTGAAAATATTTTTAAAATCTCCTAGGGCCGGGGATTTGGCTCAGTGGTTCCGCCACCTTTCTCACAAGCACGAGGGCCCGAGTTCGATCCACAGTAATAAAAAAAAAAAAAAAGTGAAAAATTCCTGGGCTGGGGATTTAGCTCAGTGGTTCCGCTGCCTGCTTTGCAAGTGCAAGGTCCCAAGTTTGAGCCCCAGTACCAAAAAAAAAAAATCCACTAACTGCTTATCTACCAATATACAATATCTAATAATATGGAACTATCTTCTGAGAAAGAAAATTTGAAAATATCTGATTCTTTAGATGTGAACCTGACTAATATCTTCCTCTCAGCATTAATAAGGGAATTTTTTTTGGGGGGGGTTCTGGAGATTGAACTCAGATCATTGCACTTGTGAGGCAGGTGCCAGAACCACTGAGCTAAATCTCCAGCCCAGGAATATTGTAATAAACTAAGGAAATTTTATTAGCATCAATACATAGTATATTATGAAACAGTGACATACTAACACGGTATTGAATGTTTTACTAATACAATACTTGAAAATAGTCACAAAGTGTGATGCTCTGAGTGAAACAAAGTACTGTGTTGAATTCTTTTTTCTTGGTAGTAAATCATAGAATTCTTAAAATGGAGAAAAAAAAGAAACAATTCCTATTGGCATTTAAGAAATACCTTTAAGTTTGTAGAAATACTTTTCTAGATATTAAAATGGGAAAGTACTTGATGGATGCAAAGAGAGACCAAGAGAAGGTAATCTGTAGAGCTGGTTGTGGTGGCGCACACCTGTATCCCAGTCCCCAGGAAGCTGAGGCAGGAGAAGCATCAGGAGTTTGAGGTCAGTCTGCACTATGTGGCAAGACTCTGTCTTACAAAAAAAGAAAGAAAAGAAAAGGTAATTACAAACCAAAATTAAATAAATAAGGCTTCAGAAGTAGGATCTTAAGAGACACTTTAATGATAATGGTAAGGAGCTTTATCTTACTGTATTTTGGTGAAAAGTGAGGTCCTTTTCAATATTTCCTATTGTGTAGGACATAGTAATTGTCCTTTTCATGATATATGATATATGAAAGAGGAATTTCATATACTTGGCCTGCCTGGGTTTTGATTGTCACTTAAAAGTTGGCCATTAAAATGTGTGGCATAGCTTGCAGGTTGGCTCAGTGGCACCGCACCTGCCTCACAAGTGCAAGGTCCTGAGTTCAGTCCCCTGTACTGGGAGACAAAAAATGTGTAGCGTAGCCAAAGATGTCAGTGCTTATATTTAGATAGTGCTTCATCTGTTCTCTGAGTGTGCAGCAAGTAAAAATCTCATTCATATGCCCTGAGGCTGTGGTGTATTTTAAATTTTATTTCATTATTTCTTAAATCCTTCTTGTTTGTTGAACTAGTGGCCGTCTTGTATCTCTTGGCAATATTTTAGTTGTCCCATTAAAGAGGGGTTGATTATTTATATATTTGTGTGTGTGTATGTGTGTGTTCACACCCATATGTGATTTATGATTTTTTGAATGAAAAGCATTTTGATAAAATAGACCTTTTGAGTTCAGAAAATAAGAAAAATGTAAGTACAGTAATATGTTCTGATGTTAACTTATTTTCCATGAAATCTGCTGTTCTTCAGTTTTGAAATTTTTTATGTAACTAATATATTCCTATGTTATAGCTTCAAAACTCTCAAGAACAATTTAAAAGTTTAAATTTTTATTGTGATATTGACAAGGCAGTAAGCCTGCCATTCTCTAAAATTATCAATCCTTTAGTGGTCTTATCGTTTTTTTCCTCGTGTTAATGAGCCTTACCTTATATGTATAAAATTTTTGTTAGGAACAACTTCATACTTACTAACAATTTTTAAAAGACGTGATCTTGTGTGATCTTAGATATTCTTAGGTTTCAGATAGATAAAATAGAGATAAATTCTACTTAACTGAGTTATAAGGATAAATGAGAGTGTATTTGTGGTTAGGAAACTTTGGCATTTAACAGTTGGTAGTTTATACTGTTATTTATATTAATATAAGTGGCATTAATGATTGAGTAGGCTTTTTATGAGGAAAGAGTACAAGTAGAATGGAACAGCTCTGGCCAAATCATAAAAGATCGAAGAACCAGGGTGTATTGGTTATAATGAAGGTGAATACGAAGATAAGACCAGATTGTACAAGCACTTTGAGAATCAAGGTGAAGAGTTTGGTCTTCATTAAACAGATAATAGATTTCTGAGGTTCTTAGAGTGGTATAATAACACTGAATTTTTAGGAAGGCATATCTGGTGAGGATTTGCAGGATAGAAGAGAATAGCAGTAGTCTGCTGAGCTAAAATACTATTCATCACTGCATGCCACAGACCACACTGAGGGATTAACATAGCTTTTCTCCTTTTCTTCTCACTACAACCCTTTGAAGCAAGTACTCTTATCCCTAATTTATAGTGAGGAAACCAACTCTCAGATTGTACTTCCAACAAGTGATATTTTGGGAGATTTGAAGCATCTCTCCGTAACTGAAAAACTAGTTTCAAGGCCATTGTGGAATTTGCAGAGTACATACTTATGCCTTTGACTTTGCTGTTTCTGAAAATTAGTCAGTGTGCTTATTTTTGTAGATACTGTTCACCCTTCCAACCAAGGACTTTTCCTAAATGGTCTACCTACTTATCCAGATAAGTTTTCTCAAATTATGGATAGAGCTAGAAGATGTAATAACCCTTTTTTTTGTTTGTTGATTTTCTTCATTTCACTCAATTCTTTTCAAATCTACATGGAGAAAAATGTGTGTATTAGCTCTTGGGGAGAATTCTAAACTTCTTAAAATAATAGTACCTTTAGGATAAAAAGGTAATTTTTTTTTTTATTGAGTATATTGGTACTTTTTAGGTATACAATACAGTTACATTCATCACTGGGACCTTGTACCTTTAGATGAGAGATCTTGGTTCTCATTTTTTCCCCGATACCTCTGTCCTCCCTTTCTGCCCCTCCACCCTTCCCTATTTACAAGGACTTTGTTTCCATTATTTTTCCTTTTCTCATATTTTTTCTTTTCCCTTATTTCCTTTCCCCTACCCTTCCCACTTAAAAATGTAAAATTTTAAGTGAAAAATATTTCAGTTACTGTTAAAAACCGAGCTAGCAGTGCTGCTATAAATATTAAGGGTAGGATGAACTTTGAAAGTCATAATAAAGCATTTCTTTCATAAAGAAACTGAGGCCCCAAATCATAGAATCAGCACTATTGACATTTTCTTATATAGTATTTAAACTTTGCTTATGTTTTTAAAAGATTAAAGTATTCTACTAATAGAATTAAATCATGATCTTTTCCTTATTTATAGAAAATAACTCAGTTAATAGACTTTTCTCAGGCTCTGCGGCAATAGTAATATATATTACTATTATTTTTTTTTATTAAAAGAGACTGTGTTAGCCCATGTTATGTAAAGTATTTCCTTCACTAGGGCAACAGGGAAAACTGTTCTCCCTCTCTCTCTTTTTTTTTTGGTACTGGGGATCGAACTCCGGTCCTTGCACTTGTGAGGCAGGCAGTGGAACCACTGAGCTAAATCCCCAGCCCATATTTTTATATAAATTTTTAAACATTGATGACCACTATAAGTATTAATGAAAATTTTAATAAAAATACATAATGTAGTTTTTTCTTATGTGAATTTATAATTTTATGTAGTACACTTTCACTAGTGTAAATTTTTTTACTTCCTATGATGTACTGCTAATACAGTGACTCTTGAGTATTTCAGTTTTGGGGAACCATTTCCTTGTAATACCAGATCTCTTTATGTTATATGCCAGCATCTTCACAAATAAAAATGCATTTCTCCCAACTTTATATAAGTAAATCACCCAGTTGAAAATTGTAAATTTGCTTAAATCTTTTGGGAATATAATGCTGTGCATTCTTTCTATATAGTGAACTAAGCTAGTACTTAAGTGTGTTTTTTTTCTTTTTTTTTTTTTTCCATTAAGTTTATTGGTATAATTTAGGTATACAATACAGTTACATTCATTAGGATCTTGTACCTTTACATGACAGATCTTGGTTTTTGTTTTTCCCTATTCCCCTGACCTCCCTTCACCCCCTCCACCATTCTTTTATTTACAAAGCCTTTGTTTCCATGCTTTTCCTTTTCTAATGTTTTTTCTTTTCTCATGCTTTTTCTTTCCCCTTCTTACCTTTTCCCTATCCCTCCCACTTCCCCTACTCCTTTAGACCTTTTCTTCCTATTATGCAATATCAATTATACATTTTGATCCTCATTTACACTTGTAGTATTTCACACCAGAGATACTATCCGGTATTTATACATGTTTGTCTTATTAATTTCACTTGAGTATGGCCTCAATTTGCATCCACTTAGCTATAAATGTCTCTAGTTTCTCATTCTTTATGGCTGAGTAGTGCTACATTTTATAAACAAAACAAACCACATCTTTATCCAGTCTCCAGTTGAGGGACAATTGGGCTGTTTCCAAGTTTTAGCTATTACAAACTGTGTTGCTATAAACATAGATGAGCATATATCACTGTGGTATGATTTTTTAATTTTTCGGAAGATACCCAGCAGAGGAATAGCTAGATCAAATGGGACTTCTAATCCTAGTTGTTTGAGTGATTTCCACAGTGTTGAATTCCACAGTGGTTGCACCAGTCTGCACTCCATATTGATTTCCACAGTGGTTGCACCAGTCTGCACTCCTACCAACAGTGAAGAAGGGTTCCTTTTTCCCCACAACCCCGCAAGTATTTGTTATTGGTTGATTTATTGATAGCAGCCATTCTTTCTGGGGTGAGGTGGAATCTCAGTGTTGTGTTCATCTGCATCTCTTGAATGACCAGTGATGTTGAATGATTTTTCATGTTTATTTGCTGCTTTTACTTCTTTGAGAAATCTGTTCATTTCAGATGCCAATTTTTGAATTGGGTCTTTATATTTGGGGGGTCTGATATTTTTGAGTTCTTTATGTATTCTAGATAATAGTAGACCTTTGTCTGAGGAACAGCTGGCAAAAATTTTTTCTCACCTTGTAGGTTGTCTCTTAGCTCTGTTGGTGGTTTCTCTTGGAATGCAGAAGCTTTTTAATAAGAATGAGATCCCATTTGTTGATTCTTTTGTGCTAGTTCCCATGCTACTGAGGATTTCTTCATAAAGACTTTTCCTATGCCAATGTCTTTGAGAGTTCTACCTAACATCTTCTAGAAGATTTAGTGTTTCTGTTTTAATATTTAGATTTATTTATTTATTTAAATTGACACCTGCATATATTAATAATTGTATACATTTGAAATATATGTACATTGTGGAATGGCTAAATCAAGCTAATAAATATATGCAAAATGTCAGCATTTTTATAGTCAGAACACTTGAAAACTCACTTGTAATTTTCAAGAATACATTATTATTAACTATAGTCACCATACTACATAATAGATTTCTGAACTTTTCCTGTCTAGTTGAAATTTTATCGCTTTTGACCAGATTCACCTGTCCTTTACCCCCGTCCTACCACTCTTGGTAACCATCATTTTATCTTCTGCTTCTTGAACTTTTTTCTATTGTACATATAAGTAGAGTCATAACAGTACTTGTCTTTCCATGTCTGGCTTATTTCATGTACCATAATGTCCTCTAGATTCATCTGTGTTGTCACAAATGCACAAATGACAAGATTTCCTTCCTTTTTTTTGACACTGAGTAGGATTTGTGTGTGTGTGTGTGTGTGTGTGTGTGTGTGTGTGCGTGTAACATTCCTTTGTCCATTCTTCAGTTAAGAGATACTTAAATTGATTCCTATCTTGGCTGTTGTAAATAAATATACAATGAATATGGGAATACAGATATCTCTTCAACATACAGATATCCTTTCCTTTGGATATATTTCCAGTAATAGGATTGCTAGGTTATATGGTAGTTCTACTCTTAATATTTTGAGGACCCTCCATGCTATGTTGCCCAATGTCTGCACTAATTTACACTCCTACCAGCAATATGCAAAGGTTCCCTTTTTTCACATCTTTGCCAACATTTGATATCTTTTGTTTTCTTAATAGTAGCCATTCTAGTAGGTGCTAGGTGATATCTCATACTGATGCTAAACATTTTTTCATATATTTATTGTTGTGTCTTCCTTTGAAAAATTTCTGTTCAGGTCCTTTGCCTATTTTTAGTCAATTCTTTTTTTGTTTTCTTTCTATTGAGTTGTTTGGATTTCTTATATATTTTGAATATCAACCCCTTATTAGTTATATGGTTTGAAAATATTTTGTTCCTTGTGTATATATTTTATATCAGGACATTGCAGTTATAATTAATTGTAGTTTACTTCAATATCATTTTAGTTAAAAATTGTTAAATACCTTAAATATGTTATATAGTCATGCATTAATTTAAGAATATATATTCATATACAGATATTATATACTCACATATATTGGTATAAAACACTTGAGCTCAAATTAACTCAAACTTAGCTACCAAAATGGAAAAGAAACATTTGGAAATCAATTTTGTATATTGTTTATATACTTTGTTTTGTTTTTTTAACCGCCATTATTAGCACAGTTGCATATTCACGGAGACCAGGACATTTTTTGAGTAGTTGGGAGAACTTGAGATCTGCTGAATAGGTCTCTGCCTCCCTCTGTTGTCATAAATATTTTTGAAATCAGGTCCAATAAGTGCCAATAACCAGACAGATAAGATAAGCCTGAAATAGATGGATCCTTCTCCCACCCAGCATCCTGTATCATTCATTAGAAGATTTTTTTTTGTTGTCTCAGCTCAAATATAAATAAAGCATAAGCACATTTAAATTTTAAGATTGCTTTAGGTAGCTTTAATATATGAATCTGTATTTGTATAGAAATTGTAGTTCTTTAACACTGTAAAATTTTCTTTTTAAAATGGTTTAGTTTGATATGTGTAGCCTATAGAGGAATTGTTCTGTTTTTATAAAATGTTAATAAAATAAGACTGTAGAAATTGTAGTTTTCTTTTCTAAATGGAAAATTACCTGTAAGCACGGAGATTGGTAATTTATTATATATGACTGGGAGTAATAATAAGGGCAGTGGGATTTTAATATTCCTTTTGTCCCCACTCTCTACCCCAGAAATAGCAAATGCTCCTGTGTGGATATTTGACTACAGCAGGTAGTTGAAACCTTGAAATTATTTTATGTTTAATTTTAGGACTGTTTCTGTTTTTGAAATACATTTCATGACTAGATGGAATTGACTGCAACTTCCAGCATTCAGCTGTCTAGATGTTTGTCCTGTTTCCACCATCCACAGACACAGGAAGGACTAATGTGAACTGCAAACTCTTGCCCTATTTCTTGTATTTTAGATGATTGTTAATAAAGGCTTTACATATATGTCAAATATTTTAATTGAACCAGTTTAAACATAGAGGTAGAAAACATCAATATAAAACAATCTTAGAGTAATTTATTTTAAAGCAAAAATAAAAATAATGCAAATAATTAATAGCTTTTAAATTCAGATTTTCAGACAAACGATAACATACTGATTAAGAGAAGATAAATAGCATATTTGTGACTTTGTAAATGTATCCTAGAAAAGATAGTTTCTAATTATAGTGAACAGAGATGTACTAATGTCAAAATATTTCATCAGGACAGTGACTCTTCCCAAGTTCAGATAAAAAATACTCTTTGACATTCACTCTTTTCAAAGTAGAAAACTCACTTTATATTCTATTTAAAAACAAAAAAGAAAACTTGGATTTTTCCGAATACTTTTTATAATAGCATTAAATTACTAGCACTTGACATAATGTATTCTGGTAGTTTTAAACCCATTTTTTTCACAAGTTTGAGGCTATGATTGTGAATGAAAGAATGTTATGATATAATAAGATACTTGACTAGGGTTCTGCCAGTTAATAAAATGTTTGGCCCCACAGTTGGTAAAATACATCATCTTTGCTTTTTTACTTCATTTGTGACTTGAGGAGAATATGTCTCTAACTTACCAGGATTTTTAAACGAATCAAATTAAATAAGAATTGGAAAATCATTCTGGAAATTTAAACCATTATAAACAAATAAATAATAATTGCATTCCACAGTGTGACTTTTCAAAGTGGGAACATTTTATTTATATTTGTGATGTCTTTTTCTAGGGATTTTTTTCAATCATTTAATTTTTATTGTCTGTTTTCCTATCCTGTTTTCCCCACTGGGACTCTGATTAATCTTTCCTTCATTAATGCTTTCTCTATACCAGGCACTGTGGTAAGTACAGATTTTGAGTCTCTACTTTGAGGAACTCATAATCTAGTACAAAAGAAACTTTTTTAAAAATTACAGTGCCATTATTAATCGCCAAAATTCCCCCATATGATGGTGTAGAATAAACCTAATTAATTCTCACTTATCCAGGAAAACACTTTCAAATAGGACTTCTTTCAGTGATGGGAATGTAGTAGCCAACAACCACATGCGGCTACTTATTTCTTGAAGTAAGTGGCCACATGTAGACTTTAGTGAACTGGACTCTTCTGTCCCAGGCACAGTGTTAATCAGCCACTGCTCAATTGGACTACACCATATGAAGTTAGCATGCCCCATATAAGTTAATCAGCCCTTGATTTAGAATTGAAAATACATTATATAGTAATTTCATTGATTCTGACTTTTGTGTAGTCAGAACTTATGATTTTCTTTTTCTTTGCTTTTTTTCTCATAACATTGCAGTTTGGACCAGAAAATCCCTTCAGAACACAGCAAATGGCTGCTCCTAGAAATATGCTTTCTGGATATGCTGAACCAGCTCATATCAATGATTTCATGTTTGAACAGCAAAGGAGAACTTTTGTCACATACGGTAAGGTTATAGTAAGACTTAAATAGTGCAAGTTGGGCCTTACTAGAAGTGTGAGTTGAGTTGTGTGTGCCACTTTGTCATCTATGAAACATACTAAGGAGGTGACATAAATTCAGTTTTGCCTAAGTCTCTTCATATATCTCTGGAATACTACTGGGATATGGAACAAACATTGATCTTATTTTCATACTCACATTTTAATGTAATATTATTATAATCTCAGAAATGACACCTGAAACATTTATATTCTGTAGTACATTGAGTTTTTTGTAGAGCCAACCTGCAGAGTTGTTATCAGTGAAGACAGTCTCATTCACTTACTCTGTACTTTGGCTTCTAGCTCTTATTTATGGTATTTCTCCCGAGTTCCTGGCCGTTCTTTGCTCATGTTACTTGGGGCTTCTCAATGAGATCTCTACATTCACTCTGAATTTTCTCTACAGTAGTCTGTAGAAGTAGAAAATAGAATTTTAATATCTTTAGTCTTACCATGGCCATTATCATCATGAGCTTTGACTTCAGTATTAGAAACTGTGTATTAGCATTTTTAAAGGTTAAAAATGTTGGCATGGTTTATGTGAGAATTTCTTGTATCATTAGATTTCAAATTAGTTCCAATTTGCACATTTAAAAATGTGATGTATATATTATACTGCAGTAGAATACCTTTTTAAATGGTGAGATGCAGTAATGAATTTTGTGCATAAGACTTCATAGGTTTTTATTATTTTCTTAAATTAATTCCCAAAAGTAAGCCAAAAATATAAATGTTTTAAAGCTTTTCTTATATATTATTAAATTGCTTTCCAAAACTTATGCTACCATCTCCATGTATGAAAGTTCTCTTTATCTTTACCAAAGATCTGTGGGATTGTTTTTCCTTTGTTATTTGATAATCAAAATATTATTTCTTTATTTCAATATGATTTTTCTAGACTAGTGAAGTTGAAGATTTTCCACATGTTTACACTGTTCCTTTGCAAATTGTTTATAATCTCTTTCTTTTACCTTTTTATAGTAGTCCTGTTGATAATCTTAAAGGTATAGTAACAAAATAGGTGTTGTATCCCTTTCACATACAACTACCAAAAGAAAGAAAGTAGACATTAACTCCATTGAAAAGATAAAATGGAAAATAAGCTTCAAAAGATAGATAAGCATGTTTAAGAATTACAGTGCAGATAAATTCATTTATTTGTTAGTAGAAGGGCAGAAATCTAGCTGGGCTGAAATTCTGTAATTTTAGAGTTAGATCTTATTTTATCACTGACTGATTTGTAGTAGAATGTATGACTAAGTGATTTTTCTTATTCATAAAAGGAAAATAATGTTGTCCACTAGTTCCCTGGGATAGAGTTGGTAGGAGTGGCAGTAAGAGATTTTTACCACAGAGGATGGGGAACAGGAGGAACATATTAGTTCCTTTCCTCAGGAACAAGACTGTGGTCATATGAATTGGGATTGGTGCCAAGAGACCAAAGACATCCTTCCCTCTCTCCTTTCAAAACACACAACACAATGCCATTTTACATAAATCTTTTGAAGTAGTATTTAAATTCTAAATAAGATTTTATGGTTGAGGTAAGAATTTTTAATTCATGATATGTTGAACTAAATTTTATATGAGCCTCAAAAAAGTCACATTGAGAAAAATCATGTACAGAACACTCTTCTGTACATCAAAAAAGTGAAAGCTGAAATAACTCGTGGGATTTGAACCTGTGATTTCAGAGATTCTACTCCAAAGCTCTTTTTCTGCCATCAAGCTCTCTCCTCTGGCTAAGAACATATTTTAATGCTGAAAAAAAATATGAGCAAATGAACTAATAGCCAGGTGGTTGGTTCTATTCTTGCATATCATAAGGGTGAGTCGAACACCTGCATCCTTGGCTTATTTTTAAAAAGTTTCACTGACAAATCATTTTGTTCCCCAAAAGAAACTCCCATTAATCTTTAGCTAACAAATAAAAATGTCAACATATCCCCTAGGATGTGCTGTTTCTAAAAAAATGAATTAGTACTTTTTGTGTATTGTATTATTGTTCACATACCTTTGTTATAGGCCATAGATTTATCAGCAATCTAGCATTCTTTTGTGAAGATAATTATGAAAACTTACTATACCAAACATACCCACTTGATAAAAAAACTGACTTAACTTTATTTAGGTAGACGTTCTTAAATTCCCCTAGACAAGTAAGGCCACATTTATATGTAGTTACATACTTTACAACAAGTTGAAAGAGAGTGTTCATGTGCTTATAGATATCCTTACTTTTCTTACTTAAGAAATATGAATAAAGAGTAATTTTTGAAATCAAAATATATTAAGATTAGAAGAAGACTTTCCTTACTGAGAATGGTATTTTCAAAACAGTAGCTACATTTTATATAATATTAATTTTTCTTTTTTTTAATAGTTTATATAACTTAATAAACAGCCCTATACTATCCATTACCAAAATGCAAAAGGAAATAGCTTCTAAACTTCTAATGTGCATGTATACGTATTTTTAAGCTCTTAGAATATTTGAAATTAACGTTTGGTTTCATGGTCAGAGAAGCTCTTAGTAATGGAAAGTCAACATGTTGGATTCATCCTGTTAGATGCTTCTGTTTATGCTGAAATCATTCATCATGGTCCAGCCTGAGATTTGGGTTAATTGTTCTTTTTTTTTTTTTGGTACCAAGGATTGAACTCAGGTCTTTGCACTTGCAAAGCAGGTTAATTGTTCTTAATAGAAATAGAGTTCACAAAAGAAGGATTAGTCCTTAGAGACTATTTTTGCACCTGAGGAGGACAATGTGAAGTAGGTGAATTTGTTTAGAAATAAAATAAATTATAAACAGCAAAATGGTATCAGTAATTTACGTTCTTTTCCTTTCAGGTTATGCATTGGATCCTTCATTAGATAATCATCAAGTATCTGCTAAATATATTGGTTCTGTAGAAGAAGCTGAAAAAAATCAAGGTAATTTATTTTAAATATATCTAATATATACATATAATTGCTTAAAATTGGTGTCTTGCAGTACACAGAAAAAAACTAATATTTTATTAGCCCATGATTTTTTAAAAAATTGACAAGAGTTTAGAGCAATACAGTTTAGAACTATTACAGTTTAGAACTTGCTTTTCCCACTCACTAGCTGTGCTACCTTGTCATGAAAACAGGTACGTATCTCTTTGGATTATATTGCATATTCGGCACCATGCCAACCCTGTAGAAATCATTGAATTAAAATGTAATATATAAATAATTTTGGCAGTGGTTTTTCTCAACATTCATATCAAGTTGCATTTTAATAGAACAAAAAAAATTTCATTTTGGCATCTATGAAAATTGTCTTTGAAGGGTCAGTTAATGGCTTGTTGAATATGTTCTAAAATACTACATTTGTGCTCACATTCACTTTGTACTTACTATAAGACAAAGCACTGCTGGCTTGTCACAGGCTTATCAGACCACTGGAATCTTACTTATACAAGTCATTTTTAAAAAAGAATACGTTAGTTCTGCAGGTACTCTTCTTTTGTTTTTGTATTTGTTTGCTTAAACAATCACCTTTCCTTAATCATAGATATATTTGTAATCTATTTTTGTTATTGTTTATAAAGGTTTAACTGTATTTGAAACTGGTCAGAAGAAAACAGAAAAGAGGAAAAAGTTCAAAGAAAATGATGCATCTAATATTGATGGTTTCTTGGGACCATGGGCAAAATATGTGGATGAAAAAGATGTAGCCAAACCTTCAGAGGTAAGCATTGATGTTCTTCATTTTCAGTTCAGGTGTGTGGTAGGTCTCTGTGAAGTATATGTATATTAATAAACTTGTGATTTCCTTAGAGAACCAAGTGACTCATCAACATTTCTCTGCCTTCATTGATTGAGAAAGAACAATAAAATTTTTTTCTTCCAATATCGACATTTATCTTTTTCTGATTTATTTTATGCTATACTTCTTTATTAAAATAGAATATTGTGCAATTTTTAATAAAAGTCACCTAATGCTCTTAAGCTGCCATGGTTGCTCTTCTTCTGAAATCAGACATTCAAATAACTAGAGAATCAGCCTTTCTATCATAGTGAAATTAATAGGTTGTACTTATTAAATTATTTTAAAATCTTAAATTTTATCTATCTGATTTTTTAAAGATATTATAACTTTTTTGGGGGGGGTGTACCAGGGATCAAACTCAGGACCTTGTGCTTGCCAGGCAGGCTGCAGCACCACTGAGCTAAATCCCTAGTCCTATTTTACAAAATACAATCCCACTGTCTCTGTTAGCCACGTACTGTATCCATTTTGTGTTTAATGCCATTCTGTTATCTGCAGAAGAGGCAATCAATCTTTGTGGAAGAGTTGAGCTTGTTGTCTGGGGAAACATGCTTGTAGCTATTGCTTCACAAAAAAATGTAGACCTCATTATAAAAAATTTATAACTAGCTTTGGACATAAGGTTCTCAGGCATTCTTTTTGTTTGTTTGTTTTGGTTTTTTGTTGTTGTTGTTTTTTGAGAGAGGGTCTCACTATGTCGTTGAAACTGACCTGGAACTCACTATGTAGTCCAGGCTGGTCTCAAACTCACAGCGATCCTCCTGTCAGGCATTCATTTTTAAATTCACTCTTTCATTTCCTTAGGAAGAGCAAAAAGAATTGGATGAAATCACAGCAAAGAGGCAGAAAAAGGGCAAACAGGAAGAAGAGAAACCTGGGGAGGAGAAGACAATCTTACATGGTAATATATTTTTAATACTTTTGTTTTTATGAAAATTTCATATATACCATTCTCTGATTACACAATACAAATTGCCCTTACGGTCAGTTGCTTTAAAATCATTATATTCAGTATAACTCTGTCGAACAAATTTATATCCCAAAAAAGTCTCATAGCAGACTCTTCTTTTTTTTTTTTTTTTTTTTTTTTTAACTCTTCTTTGTACTAGAAAAAATAGTGTGATTAATGTTAACTACAGATGATTCTTCTTGAAGTGTTAGTGAGTTGTTTTGTTTCTTTTTTTTGGTATTAGGGGTTGAACTCAGGACCTTGTGCTTGAAAGGCAGGCGGTGGCACCACTGAGCTACACTGAGCTGTATCCCTGAACTGTGTTAATGAGTTTTTTAAAAGTCACTAAGAAGAAATTTGAATGGTCTATAATCTGTTCTTTCCTAAAACAAAATTGAGTCTTTTGTTGTATTAATAGTGCCTGGGTCACTTACCTGTTAACCAAAGCCAAATATTCAGTTTTTATCCCAGTTAAATTAAATTTTAAAATAACAAACTTTGTTTTACATGTGAGTAGATTGAAAGTTATTACTCTCCTATTTTGACTGTGGAAGAAAATACATATGTGCCTGTCTATTAATAATTAGTCAAACTTAAGAAATTACACAGTTGGGCTGGGGATTTAGCTCAGTGATTCTGCTACCTTCCTCATAAGCACAATGTCCCGAGTTCAATCACCAGTGCAAAAAAAAAAGGAATTACACAGTGATTATCTGAAACTGTACAGAATAACTCAGCAATGATAGTGTTACTTATTCTAATGTTTGTCAGTTCACATATTTAGATTTTATGAGACTGTATTTGATTCTCAAGCTCTTATTTTATGTTCACGGAGTTTATTAGTACTATGGTGCTTATAACCACAGTAGCAATAACGGCCAACCTTTATTAATAATGGCTGTGCTAGGCATGCTGCTAAATGCTTTCTGTACAGTATGTCATCTGTACACATGACCGTTATCCAGGTCTGATGGTGCACACCTGTAATCCTGGCACTAGAGGCGGAGGCAGAAGGATCACAAGTATGAGCCCAACCTGGGCAATTTAACAATTTAGACCCTGTCTCAAAATAAAAAATAGACTGGGGATTTAGTTAGTATGAAGGCCCTGTTTTCACTCCCAGTACCAGATAGGAAAGAGAGGGAAGGAGATGGAAAAGTGGAATGCAAAGGAACCAAAAGGGAGTAAAAGTGGAAAAGTGAAGGAAAGACTAGTGTTTTGTTTTTTTAACTTCGTTCTTCTCCTGTTTTGTTTCTGCTTTTTTACCAGTGACTCAAGACTCAAGTATTACCTTTTGTTACCTCACTATAATGCAATGAGGTCTTTGTTATATCACTAAAATATGTGACTGAGTGTAAAAAAACTATCTTACTTAAAGATCTGATACCCTGTGTACTTAGGAAATCCAAAATATTACCTCTAAGTATAAATGATTGCATTTATTTCAGACATCTTGATTTCAGCTAACTCAATGACACCATCATCGGAGTGTCACTACCTAAAAGCCTTAATATGGACAAAAACCCCATGAATGAAATAATTGTTTGCATTTTTAAATCATAGATTTCCTGACTGTGCTTATACTTGTTTATTGCTTTCTTTTGTATTTTTGTTTCAGTTAAAGAAATGTATGACTATCAAGGCAGGTCCTATCTTCACATACCTCAGGATGTTGGTGTTAATCTACGGTCCACTATACCACCTGAAAAATGTTATCTTCCCAAAAAACAAATTCATGTGTGGTCTGGACACACAAAGGTAAGCAAGTTGGTTGTTTCTGCTTACTGCAATGTTGTAATAATGAAGCCAATGTAAACTTTCAGCTATTGATGAAGCATTCAGCATTTCTGGTAAAGATGCAAGGAAGTCAAGACAACAAGGAAGTCAGATTACAGATAACCTCAGTTGTGGGGCTTTGGAGATACCCACTTGTGTCAGTCACAAGTGACCAGTCAGTCCCCAAGGCCATCTGGACTGGCCCTGACATCAGTTTTCATGGTTTCATGTCCAGCCCCCTTACTGGAGCCCAATCTGTTCTCCACAAGTCACTGCCACAATCCGCTTTCACTTGGGCAGCAAGTCAGTAAGTGATAGACTAGCACCTGGTCTCCTGCTTAGCTTCAGTAATGTTGTTTGGTTCTTGGGATTATCACATTTCAGAGGTAGTGTTCTGGTTTATAATCCAAGGTACTATTGAAACTGATGTAGAGACAGGGTACATGAAAACTTTTAACACCGATGTGCATCATCTGTGCTTTGTTAGCTGTTAATTTCCAGCTCTTTGCAAAGAGCAAAGGGATTATGTTTCAAAAAAGGAAAATAAATGGGGACATTAGCAATCTGTTTGACTTGGGACTGCCTATGGTGAGAAAGTCAATATTAAAAGTTTTAAAAATTTTTTCGAATGCTAAGTGTCAATAATGCCTTTTTCTTGGAATTCTAATGAAGGTTATTCTGAACCATGGCATTTGACAAAATAGCAAATTAGGTTGCTTAAAATACACTGTCTTTCTATTCCTTCATTTCTAGCTGTTATTTTAAATCCTTCAGGTTATTAACTGTGATACCTTTTCACAGGGTGTCAGTGCAGTAAGATTGTTTCCCCTCTCTGGCCATTTATTGCTGTCTTGTTCCATGGACTGTAAAATTAAGGTGAGTTTCAGTTATGGAAGGAGAGTTCTGTACTGCGACGCTATTGCTCTGGTTGAATCTGTTCAGTTATTTATAAATAAATTTCCATTTATTAGGCAATTAGAAGCCAATGATTTTCTCTTAGGCCCTATGAATTGCAGCCATTTACAGACTGCTTTCCAGACTTGTATATTCAAATATGGCTCTGTGGTCCAGTTGGCAAGGTACTTTAAAGCCTGGACAACTGATGAGAATGTAATCCAGTCACTTCCAGATTAGACACACAAATACTTAATCATTAATAATGCATTTTTTATAGAGATTTTGGATATGTGACTAAGTTCATTTGTTTTTGAGAACCATAGGAGGAAGAGAGGACACATGATAGAAATCCCATTTTTTAGAGAGTAGGCAATGTAATGAATCCTTTTCCTTCTGAATACTAGTAAATTCAAGGAGGAGAAATGCTCCCAGCCCTACCTTTCACTTGTTATATCCTTAGGAAATTCCACCTTTGCCTTCTGCTAAGCTATTTAGTATGATTTTTTTTTTTAAACTGGGGTATTTAGCTCAGCACTGCCATGCCAGCCTTACAAGCACAAGATTGGGAGTTCAATCCCAGGTACCAAAAAAAAAAAAAAAAAAAAAA